TGGTGGTGTTTTCTAAATTCTGTAAATGTTATTTCTAAAAATATATAAAACAATTCTAACTTGTTCTCTACGTTTACATTTGTTTACCGCTGTTTGTGTTTTTTTTCCATTTTTTGCAAAAAAAAAGAGAAAAAAAAACTTGTTTTAGATGTGTTTCTGTTTTTTTAAGGTACATTGTTTTAAAAATAAGGACCAAAATTGTAAACAAAAAAAATGATGTTCAAAAATATCCAAAACTAAAAACAGGTGCGCATATCCCATTTGCAATTAATGACAGCATGAACATTTCTAATTGATGTATTTGAGATTAACATATTAACCAAAACAATAGTAAAATATTACCCAAAATATATATTACCTAATATGTTTTTAAATATAAATCACTAACAAATATGTTTTATATTTTTAATTTTTATTATAAAAAAAATAAAATCTAATTATATTTTTTAAAAAAAATATAAAAATAAAAACGTTATCAAACACACTATAAATTTATCCAATTTTTATTTACAATTTTTTAAAAATATTGATTAAACATCTTTTCTTGTACAATTTTTTTTCGAAATACAAATCAAATATGACCGATATCCGCCATTCTAAAAGAATTTAAAGGACAACCCCTCACCCGCCCCCCAAAAAAAAAGAAGATAAAAGATAAAAAAAGAAGAAATATCGAGAGAGCATATTATTGAAACTAAGCCAGCACTTTCCCTTCGTGGTCATACCCTCCCACACACCCCGCGCCCGCACTCGCACTCTCTCTCTCTCTCTCTGTCAAAAGAAGGCTTTTCAATGGCGAGCACGAGACACAATTACAGAAAATCAGTGGCTTTTTCAAGCCTTTCGAATTCAGGTAGCTCTGAATCTTCTTCTTTGTCCCTGACTTTCTGTTCAGAAATCTTCTTCTACTTCATTCCAACATTTTTATGTATAGCTCTAAGAATTTTGAAATAATAGTGCACGAATTTTTACTAATTCGATTTTTTTTTTTTTGTAATTTTGTATTATAAGAAGTTCTGAAACCTAGTTCATAATTCAGGAGAGGTGTTCATTTCATAATACAAAAATATGAAAAATTCTATTAATTTCAAAAATATTTCCGAAAAGTAGATTGATTATTCATTCGGTTTCTTATAGCTAACTAACAGTTTATTTTTCGTGATTATTTATGGACACTTAGAAGGTTTGTTTGTTTTCAGTTCTTTGCTGTTTACTTCTCTATGTAAGTCGTGTGTCTTTGTGTGCTCTGTTTATGAAATTGTACGGATCCCGCCTGAAGCTCCTAGGACTTTGTAGTATTGTTTTTGGCACAAAAGATCCGTCACCGAAACTATTTTTTAACCTAACCAAAAAAAATATTTTTCACCAACTGTTTAATTGATAGAGAATGTTAGAAAATAAATATTTATTAAATAGTGCAAGTATTGCAAAATGGGATGTCTTTACTCAATCCACCCTTTGGTCTGAGCACTTGTGATTAACGAAGACCAAACTGGGAAATAACCCTAGTACTATTAATGGGTCATTTGAGCTGAGAGCACTTAATTTTGAAATAGTAATTATTTCTGCCCTGTTGATTTCATATTCAAGCTTAATAGAAGCTCAGTAATCAATTTTCTTGAGAGTTTTTATTGCGATTGGATCATCAAAATGCCTTTTGTACTTGAGAAATATTTTCCTCACTTCGTTCTAATAAATTGTTTGGATCATTTAAAATGGCTGTTTTTTACAACATGCTAGTGTATTCAGTTGCGCTCAAGTTGATTTGGATTTTGACAAATGGAAGGTCTACATTGATTTTTCTTTTTCTTTACGAAAATGTGTAAGTACACAATTGATTGAATGGTGTATTTAATGTTAATAAACAAGTGTGGAAAAATGTTATGTGTGTTAAACAGGTCCGTATTATATGTGTTAAATAGGTTAAATAGATCATGTTATGTGTATTAACCTGAAAACGACATATTTATTAAACTTGTCAAAAAGGTCGGGTTCGGATAATCCATTTAATAGCCAGGTTAGGCTAGTGTTTATACATTTCGATATGATTATTAAACATGTCAGGTTTGAGTTTTAAGATTTTCGACAAAAACTCGAAATCAACTTGACACGAAATGACTAAATCTAGTGTTATTTAAGGTGTAAGGCGAACTGAAGCGATTAAAGCTCCTAAAGGCTAGGCGAAAAGCGAAGCGAAACGCTTCACCAAAGTGAAGCGAACAGTTAAAAAAAAGGTAAATATTTTATTATAATTATTTCTAAATATTTAAGTTCTAATTTTACAAATAGTAAATATTTAAATTCAACCAAAACCATAAACATTTAAATTTAAACAAACACTAATAATATCTCAAATTTTAATGACAGTCACAGCTTAAACATTTAAATTCAGAAAATCAGCACTACTATCATCAAAATCAGTATTACAGAAAATCAAAATCAGCAGAAATAAACAGTACAAATTCAGTAGAAATAAACAGTTCAAAAAATAAGCAAAAGTAATACAAAAAATAACATTAAGTATTACAGAAAATCAGCAGAAGCAGAGATCAACAGAAGTAGCAAAATCAACATTAAATAGAGAAAATCAACGTCAAATTAGAAGCTGTACAAAAAATCAGCATCAAATTAAAGGCAGAAAAAAAAGTAGAATCAAGATTATATGAAAAAACAGAATTAACAAAATCAGCATTAAGCAAAATCAACATCAGAGAAGCAAAAACAGAAGCAGAGAAGCAAAACCAAAAGCATAGAAACAAAAATAGAATAAGAACCAGATCCAGGACCAAAATCAATAGCAAAAGCTAAAGCAGAAAAAGAGAAGCAAGAAGCAGAACCAGAACCAGAAACAGAAGAAGAGAAGAAGAAGCACAAGCAAAAACAAAGAAATAGAACTAAAATGAGAAGAAGAATTAGTAGAAGAAGAGAAGAGAAGAGGAGATGAGAGGAGAGGAGAGAAGAGAAAATACCTCTGTTGTCAAAGAAGAAGACCAAAGCAGCAGGATAAGTAGGAGATGCATTAAGGTACTAGTATTTTCTGTCAAAGAAGAAAAAAAAAAGATTTAAAAAAGTAAAAGAAGAAGATGACAAGGTGGAGAGAAATAGAGAAAAATTAGGTACCTGTGTGTGGTGTTTTTTGTTTAAGAAGAAGATAGAAGTAACATATGCAAAACTTTTTGTCGAAGAAGAAGAAAAAAAATTAAAAGAAGAAGAGAAATAGAGAAGGGAGGGGGCAAACCTGTGGGAGAAGCGAGGAAGGAGCGGTAGCTGCAATCCTCTGACCTTTAGGCAAAATTAGGGTTTGGGTGTGTTGAATATATTGGGATAAGGGGGCAATTGGGTGTATGAGTATCTCACAATTTGTTTCAATAATTGCCTCAATCCAACGGTCCATAATAAAAAAAAAACAACTCTAAAAACTTAACTAAAGAGTCGTTTTTTTTTTTTTTCGCTTTTTTCGCTTTTCCATCGCTTTAGTCATGTTCACTTCACCTGGGTTATTCAAGGTGAGCCACCCTTGCCTCGCTTCGCTTCTCCCCTAGGCGCTTGTCTAGGCGAACTTTTCACAACACTAACCCAACCCGACACGTTTGACACTCCTAAACGTAAGCTTATTATATGCACTTTTTTCTTTTGGTTTCGACTTATTTAAGGTTGCTCTATCGATTGAGTGATTTACACAAAATTATCATTTTCCAAAGTGCTTATACTATGTTTCGGAGACGTGACAAGTACATGTGTGGTGCATTTATGAGATATGTGACGAGATGTGGGCAGCTCGCTAAACATGAGTTGATACGTGGCATAGGATTGTGTCCCCTAAACTACCATAAACTGAGACCGATTGAATTAACTCTTCTAAGGCAGCAAAGATATACTTGATGAGGAAAAGAATGTGTTGACGGGTGAGCTTGAGCATCAATTTCTTTTGGGAGGTGTGCCTCAGGTAGAATGTGCTGATATAACTGGCGATCATTATCTTGTCACTTCAACGTGGGTCCAATACCAAATCTCTTGAATAACGGAAGAAGACGTGACCCTTGTTAACGTAGACAAACCATGTAAACATCAAATTAAATGCTCGACATAGGGTCATAAATGCTCGACATGAAGTACTTGATGTTCGGGATGACATAATAAGTAAGAACGGTAATAATAAATGCTCGGCCTCTTGAGTAATGAAGTCATGGCTACACCCTGTTGCCAAGCATTGATGAGGCATGACAGGGCATTCTAAATGTGCGGCTCAATGGTGAAAGATCTACTGATGTGATAACCCTCACAGTGGGATGCATACCGTCAGCTGTTAGGGCTAAGTTTGGTGTACTCAAGTGGTTCCCATGTTAGCATCTTTAAAGGTATAAATATCTCAAGGAGGCAAAACTCAGGTATGTATTGTAAACCAGAATTGCACAATACTCATATCCTCTCGCCCTTGAGCGCCGGTTGACTTAAGGATCAGAAGGGATGTGCTGGATACATATCTGATTCCTTTCTAATTTCTTTCTTTGTTTCAGGAATCTCACCTCAAGTTCGACTAGGAGTCACTATCTCAAACTATTGTAGAAAATCAACCGAATAATATGAATCATCACATTATATGGAATTAATTTTTCTTATGATGTTTGATTATTTTCTTTGAGAGGACATGTGGAAAAGAGTTTTGAGTGTTGTAGTTCCAGTCGTTTGGGGTATGGCCCCGGGAGGGATAAGTCTTTGCCAACGCAAAGCGCCGCTCCCAAACAGAAAACACAAGCCTTGCTCTTTGTCGTTAGGAGAACGTCCTCGGGGGGGATAAGTCTTTGCTTATGCAGAGCACCATGCCCAAAAAGTTGAAACACAAGCATTACACTTGGTCGTTAGGGGTACGATCCCGAGTTGGATAAGCCTTTGTTAATGCAAAATGTCATGCTTAAAAAGTTAAAACACATGTCTTGCACTTGGTCGTTAGTGGCACGGCTCCGGGAGGGATAAGCCTTTGCCAACTTTAAGCACTGCGCTCATAAAGTTAAACAAGCCTGGTGCTTGATCATTGGGGGTATGGCCAAGGAAGAAGGACTGTCATCAAGGGTTTGGCATTTAATGCAAGGATTTGGTTTCCAATCATATTCAATAGCTTGGTCATAACTTCCATCATTGGTATCTATGGTGACGAAATCTGGAAGAGGAATGAAAGGGTTTATTTCAACACAAATGCGAGCAAAAGTTAGGCGAGACCCTGTGGCTGTGGGTCTGTCAACATTCAAAGGGATAGCTAGGTAACTGCCTTCCTTAAAATATTACAAAATGACAAAAGGAAGTCTCATTGATAAATAAAGGGCTTTGCATCCCTCATAGCATTAAAAAAAAAATACATAATAGTAAAAAGGCCCTTGGGCCTTAAGAGTTGAAAGTGAGCGTTAAAGAAAACATCTTCACTAGGGTCACAAAAGTTTCAATTCTCGGCACCACCTTCTTGGTTGTCGCCATTCTAAGCACCTCTACGTCACCTTGCCTCCAGATTGCCCTCTCCATTCGTGCCATCGTCATGATTGCCGAATAGATCCTCAAGTTCCCCAAACTCCCCAATTGATGAAGGGTTTTGTTAACCAAGCGGGATATCAGGAAGTATAGGGTCTCGAGGATGAATAGGAAGAGCGGGGAAAGGTAGCTGCAATGGAGAGATCACATTGTTGCTGAATCCCAGTCACTTATCAAGATTGGCTCATTTGTTGTTGTCGATCCCCTCGGGATATCATCAGTGGGAGTGTCCTACTAGTCCTTTTCAAGAAGATCTTGTCGAGCATCTTTTGGGGGATGGTCTCCTTCATCCTAAATAGGCTTGGGAACAAAGATATACTGTACAAATAGCACTGATTCAACATTTACCCCAACTGACTGACGAGCCTCATCCCATCCCTTCTTGAAGGATTTCCCCAGGTCATCCGAGAATGCCTTCACCTCCGTCAAGTTAAACACTTGTATGTGAATTGAGTTCTCTCTCTGCACAATTTTTGTCAATGTCAACGTCTGGTCTTCCACTTTAGTAGTTAGGGTGGCACAGTTCTTCTCAAGCTCCAACAATTTGGCCTCGGTAGTAGAAACTTTCAGCTCAACTTTAGTCATCTTTTTTTTCGCCTTGGCCTCGAAGCCTTTCTTTTCTTCACGTCGGATGACAAGCCCTCCATTCGTTTTGTCAAGTCGGCAATCTATTTCACTTAATCAACAAAAGTCTTTTCGACACGGCTTATGTGGATGTCCCGCTAGTCTTTCTTGGTTTGGGCCTTTCTCAACTTGGGTCCAGTAATCCCTGAAGCGCTCGATGATGATTTCTGTTTGTTGATTGATCTCGGAAATGAACAAGTTCGGTTGAGTATTGCCATTGAGCACAAGAGTGGAAAGAAATCAAGGAAACTTACTAGTACGGAATTCTAGACCTTGGAGAAGGCGATTTTCAGATCGGTCTTTGTGGATGGCCATGTTGGCATTGAAGTGCATGGCATCACTAACTGCCAAGGCAATGTCGAGGGAGTTAATGATGCAATTGGTGGTCATCACCGCCTTGTCCTTGCATGTAACCACCCTCGAGTTCCACTCCTTGGCCAGCTTGTTGGGAGGCAGCAGGCAGAGGCGGGGGCTAGGGAATTTCGGACCTTTGGATTAGCGGGGCTCCAGAGTCATGGTGATGCTTGACCCTGTGCTCATAGGAAGGGTCATCTTCTCAGCCCTGACATTGATCGTGTCGAGGAATCTTGGGCTAATTTAGGGGAGGCATAACTTGCTGCGACGGCGGTTGTTGTTGGCGAGATTCTAAAAACTGTTGGGAAGGAACTGTGGTGGCTTGGGAAGTACCGTTGGGTTGCGAAGGGGTAGTTCTTTGGGCGGCGGCCACGACTTCCAGGCTCTCAGTAGTAATCTTGGGCATCCGAAACATGTCTAGCTCGGGTGAGGTTGTGGGAGTGGCGTTAGTCTCTCGGTTGGGATCGTTTTCTAAATTTGCTTCTTTGTCTCCTTTTTCTCTTGTGGGATCATCTTCTAAGTTTACAGAGTACATTTCTTTGGTAAAAGTCATTCATTTAATCGAGAAATATTTGGAAGGGTAAATCATTCAAGAACAAGAAAAATATAATTGCATTCATAAAATATTTGAAGTATAATCATGAAAACCATACCCTAACTAGAGAATAGGAAGAGAATTACTCATTAGCCATGAGCAAAATTGTCACAATAAAATAAAAAAAAGGTCTGAAGAAAAGTCTCCAAATGGGTCCCCTAAGAGGTTCACTCCCCCTTATATTTATATATATAAAACTCAAATAAAGAAATTAGGAATTAAAATACTACAGACTTCTACTAGGGCAGAACACTTTCCCGTCAAAACTTGGAGGCGCGTTCGAATGGTTGAGCTTCATTCCAACGGAATCAGTAACATCAACACGCATTTGAATGGATGAGATGCATTCGAACGAAAGTAGGTATTGTTAAATGCACTATTCAAACGGACTCTCATGCATTCAAATGGTGAAAACCCACTGGAATTCGCAACTTGGCCTGTATTTGAACGGCCTCTCACAGTTCGAACGGTTGGACTCTGTATCGTATCTTGCGTTCCAACAAACCATTTCCATTTGAACAATATAAATTCTCTAGAATGTCTTCAACTTTCTTCGTATTGGGGCTTGCGTTTGAACGGTCCTTTATCATTTGAACGGTGCTACTTCATTCGACATCCTTTGATTTCTCTCCAACATCTTTGAAAATAAAAATTTTCTTTATTTTAGCACCAATCTTTTATTGCACTTTGACCCTCTTGATTACACTTTATTCTTCATTCGGGTGGTCATTTTGCCAAATCACTTTTTTAACTTGCAAAATTACCAAAATATTATAAATCACAAAATATTATATCAAAGAATTATTAATCTAATAACTCAAAAACATCACAATTTGTTATCATTAACAGATAAAGAAATAACACTTTTCTTGATGAATCACACCCCCAACCTACATCTTACAAACCCCTTGTAAGGTCAAAATCCTAAAATATAAACAAACTGAAACAAAATTATTGACGTCAAGACTCATGATTGCATTTATTATCATATGCAACAAGCCTTTAAACCCTTAGGTGTTCCTAATCGAAGAGTTATAGTCTCATGAAGGTTTCAGTGAAGATACCTTTAAACTTCCATTAATTTTGCCTAATGCTTTGAATTCATCATATAACTCCGCCAATCAATCAAACATCGGATATAAATAAAAATATGAACAAGCGCATGCCAAGTCAAATCATAAAATTACAGATTATGCATCAATATTTACCAATTTCATTTACAATGAAATTCGTGTGTAGTGGGCAAACGACCAGACATGAGTAGAAAGTCAATCAAAGATGCACTGCCTTTCTACTATCCACTGCTAGCTTTGAACCAATCCTCACGCAAGTTATACTCTCAACAATGAAACCAGTCAGATTATTCTGGCTAATTTCCTTCCGTTTTTTCATATGTGAGTAGAATTATTGTAATATCAAAACAAAGTATATCTCACATAGGATTATAACCAATGAACACTATCAACGAAAGGAGATTAGCATAGTCTTATGATCAGAAATCAACTTACAATACTCAAAACAACTACTGTCTTCCTCATGCATACAAGTCATGCATCACTAACAACTCTTGAGATCAAATAGGTCTTTATTTAAGGTTGTAACGTGGCCTTGGGTCATTGGGGTTAATAACCAAAGGGAAATAATAGTTCAAAACATTACTCCAAGAATACTTTGTATCTCACTATATCTTGAAATATAGTTCTAGAAACTCTCCTTACAAGTATGATTTTTTCAACACTTTCTCATAAATACATTTCATCTTCTTTTCACTTTTCTTTTTTTCTTCTTTTTCCATGCTCATTCTTTTTCAATGCTCATTCTTTTTCAATTTTTTTCAACAACCATATACACATTTTCTTCGGTAAGTCAAACACTTTCAATCTCACAAGTGTACTAAAGATACAACCCTTTCTGTTTCAGCCAGTGCCAACCACATAATCCCTTGCATATATATGATACAACTTAATCTCTTGATAAGCAAGTGTAAGGATATGATATCTCATGCTAAGCTTGGTTATTATATATGGGTTACCAAACGAATTTTCAAAAGGTTCAATCATGGCTTCTAAGGATAATAAATTTTTAAGAACTAAGGCCAAGGCTCAAAATAAATCAAACATGACCTAAAATCATATCTCAAGAGTTTTAGAAACACACTCAATATGCAAATAACTCATAATCAAACAGTTATTTATAATTTCAACATTTATCAAAACAAACATAATGAAACTATTTAAGAAATAAAACTGAATGAATTTATCTTTCTTGAGTAAATATACATATCACTCCAAGAATGAATGTCTCTAAACTCACAATTGACATCATATTATTATCCACTCTATGTATCAAGTTTGAAGTTAATGTATCTTCTCCTAACTTCTAACTCAAGTAAGGTCATACGTGTTCTAATATTTTGAGTTTCAATCGAGAGTAGAATTTATAATAGTAAAATGTAATCTAGAATTCTATAATAGACTAAAGCATAAACAAGTTCAAATTTTCATTAAAATACTCGATACCCAATCATTAGTCTCATCATATACACATAATGCAAACAATTGGCAACATATAGATTGGTCAAAATAGGTTTTCATTACAGTCTTTATCTAAAAACAAAAGTAGACTAATTAAGTCGAGCCTTGACTTAAGTAGATACGACTGGGCTTTGACTACCAACTCAATCCTAACTGACTCGACAAAATAAATGTCAATACTAAAAACAATCTAGAACAAATTCCAAGATATCCAAAGTCTAGGAAGAAGGACCAGTACGATCTCCTGGTGCAAGGCGAAGATTATCAAGAATGGCTCCATACCTAGCTAACTCTATCTTAATCCATTTCTGATCCTCTATGATTTGAAGTAAAAGATCCATCTCAAAACGAGTATCCATTAGATCTCCGACCGAGGCATCAACATCATCACCTTCATCCCCCTCCTCATCTACATCAGGCTCATCCCTAGTAGCAGCACTCCTACTCTTCATCCGAGCAATGAGATCCAAAAGCTTAGGACATTTCTCCTTAAGCATCCCATTCTCTATAGCTATCCACAGCCTCGCACAAATCTGGGTAGCTAAGTAGCTAAATGGAAGAGATGCATTCTTAGTAGTCACCTTCAGTGCTCTCTGCATCTCAGACATGATTATTGATGACAAACACACCAGTACCCAAAACATATACCAACCTTGCTCTCTCAAGATACACCTAAGTCTTCCTACCCAATGGTACGATATTCGAAGCAGAAATTCAATTCAAAATTCTATACTTATTAGTCAATTGGTCTTGAGTCAAATACTTGGGTTTCTGAATCCATACAAAGTGAGGGTCCAAGTCAATTCCCTAGCCATATCTTGCATTTCTAATGCCATAGCAAAAGTGAATTGTGGCCTAGGGGTTACATTAATGCCTATCACTGCAAAAATCATAGTCGAATCTATTATCATCCTTTTCCCCCCTCACATAAGTAGAAAACCTTTTAGGATAAGTCCTCTTAGTATTATAGTAAAATTCCCTAACCAAAGCTGTAGCCCCCTTCCCATTTTTCAATTTCCTAAACTCACCCCATCCCCTACTCTGAATATTTGATCAATCCCATACACAAAAAAATCATTATAAAGAGTAGCTCTCTCCATAACTATAGGCCGTTGAGAAAAATATAAATCATACTTCTTACTCTTTTCCAAATAAGGAAAATGATCCACATTATATACATGGCGAAAACCCCGATTATCAATCACCACACCTGGCTGCAATGGTTGAGCTTCTTGAACACTAGTACCCACACGAGCTCTCTTGTTCACCATTGAATATTTTTTTTCAAAAGCTTGAAGAAGGTAATGGGTTTCTTGAAAAAAATTAAATATGCTGAAATAACCCTTAACTGAGAAGAAGAAGCCTAAGTTTGGAAGAAGAAATTTATTATTTTTGGTGACATTTAGGTGAGAAAACAAGAATTGTTGAAGCTTCCTGGAGAGGGTTAATGGTGGGTTTCGATTTTAGAGAGAGAGAAA